TCGTTCAGGACTGCAGTTTAAATATTTATATATTATATATATATATAAATTTTGAAAACATCGAAACTCAATTTCTGATCGAAATTAAATTAAATTCTGATCCAAAACAAAATGTACACACTCTGACGATAATATACATTATCAAATGATACATAATTATTAATATACAGTATATAAATATATATATATATAGTTGATATTTATATATATATATAATGATATATAATTATGTATCATTTGATAATGTATATTATCGTCAGAGTGTGTACATTTTGTTTTGGATCAGAATTCAAACATTTATAGTTAATCGTTCAGGACTGCATTTTAAATATACAGGGTGTCCCAATTAAATGTTACATGTCACATACGTGTCTATTTACGAAATGATCTGTCCCAGAAATTTCATTTCTAATCCAGAGATTTTCAATCGCACCTTTCCATCGTTCATAAATTGTAAAGTTATTCTGTGACCCGATCCTTTTAACGTGATGCTAAATATTCATCCATATAATTATCTTTTGCGTGTTACTCATATATATATATATATATATATATATAAAAGTAAGTTTTATATATATATAAAACTTACTTTTATTTTAAAAAGAAAACGCATAAAGAGACAAATCTCTCCGTCTGCAAGTTGCAGTTCGCGCGCAATAGCAATCGATGTTCTTCAAATTCGTACGTTTCAACCGGTTAATGATACCCAACCCTAACGCCTTGTTCTTCTTTCCGTTTTGTCTATTATTCGAATCGTTGCAAGCAGTGCCTCGGGGAGAAGATCCAGTTTAACTCCTTGCAACCGTTGATCTTTTCTTCTCCGTACCTCAACCCGTTTCTCACCCGTTACATGCTTGCAAACTGTTCCCCTTATTATACTGCGAACATCATGAATATACGTGACACAACGGATTTAGTATTTCAACAAACGTGACTCTTAAATAAATTATTAATTATAGATCGTAACCATAGCATACGATCGTCGATAATAAAAATCGAAAGTAAATTACAACGCGTGTGTGTATTTAGTATTTGCAAAACTTGTCTTGTACTTTAGTATTAGCAAATAATTAATTATAAATGGCTAACGACGTTTAACGATTGAATTAATAATGAATTTCTCTGGCTAATTCGTAACATATTCGAATCGTATTAAATCAAATACACCGGAAATGACTTTTCACTTGCTTATATATTTCAAACATTTATCTATCTAATCATACATCTTGAGAAATACATATTTATAAACAGTTGAATTTGTTAAACGTGTGAAAACGAAAGTGAAAATTAAACATTAATTTCATACATGCATTTATACAGGAAATGTGAACGTGCAAGAAATTACAAAATGCATACACTATGCAATAACATAAAAAAATATTGAAAGTAAAATTCGTACTATAATATTTGCAGAGTAAAATAAATTCTTATCTGGGTTCAGTTTTCGTAGGTACACTTGCAAAGATTTTATCGTGCATAAATATCCGCAGCGTGATCATCTCGTTATCTCACTTTAAAATTTTAAATCTCGTCACAATCGATAAGATAGTTGAATATTACCCAACACTGGTACATATCTACCTTACCTCTCTCACCTTACTAACGATAACTACAGTCGATATTATCGACCTACTGCATTATCGACACCTAGCGTACCTACACGACCACATCAAAACATACGCCATACATTGGTACCATTCACCATTCTTCATCTAATCTTCAGGAAAGTCAACCAAAAATATCCGTAATCATCATCAGTGATTAGTAATTCTAACGTTATTAGTACTCGAGAGGAATCCTTGCTACATGCTTGTGTTCGTGATAAGGAAGCCGAGGTGTTGCTACAAATAGACAAATAGTAGAAGTATCTCTCAGCTGGGAGTGTGGCGGCTCCTGTAATCCGGCTACTCGGAGGCTAGTTATGTCGGAGGGTCTGAGGTCGGGGGTACCTGCTGGTGCGGGGTTCACGTTGACTGGGCGTCCGCACTAAGCTCGCCATCAATATGGACATCCTGGAGGAGTCCGGGGTGCCCAGGTTGGCTAAAGAGAGGCGAACCGGGCCAGAGGGGAAACCCAGCAGCCAAAAGTCTCCGTGGCGGGCAGTAGTGGGATCGCGCCCGGGAGTGGGACCGCATTGGCAGCCTGGTCAATATGACTCGACACATAACTTTTTTTTAATTTTTTCACATTCTTGTTATTTAATCAACTCGTAACCATTGCATTTTCAACTCTCAATTCGTTATTAATTTTGTTACTTAATTATTTCAGAGTCTGGAATCGCCACGGTCTTCAGCGCCATCTTGATTGGTAACCCTCTCCTTATATTTACAATAAAATAATAGTAAAATGCATAAAAGTCAATAGCTTTTTGTTAGGTAAGCTTCAGGGTACCTAAAAGCTTTAAAGATTAACATTGAATCTATGAAACCCAATTAATTTCAAATTCTTCTTCGAATCCTTTGTTTCATTGATACCATAGCAAAGATACCCTACACGAGAGATTACAAGTAGCTATGTGTGAAACTCTGTAGATTAATTTAAAATAGTCTACCGTATCACTGTAACTACTTATGCCATTCTATGTATATGAAGACATAGCTTACGTTAGTGCTCCTTTAATTTCCATCTTTTAGAATTTGCAATACTAACGTAAATTGTAGGAAAATATAAAGGAAAGGATGCAGTCGTTGAAACATATACAAGTTTTCGTTTTATTTTTCCATCATTAATACTTAAGTATATCTTCTTGTGTTTTTCTTATCAAAAGAAATTCCTTTTAGTATGATCTAGATGGTTTAGTACCGATTACACCAGACAATAAAAATGAAAGTCAAAGACCACGTGACAAAATTCGTGAAATTTCAGGATAATGTTTTTGAAACAAAAATGCATAAGAGAAAAATACAAGATATATTTTCTTTTTCTATAATTTTTGTTTATCTTTCTTCGCTTGTTCGGCAACTGCTTCTAAACGATCATGTTCTGCGATCAAGGCATCGATTTCACTCGCAGGGAGAATCCTCACTTTGGTTTTACCATTTTCTCTTGTCAATGTGGCCATTTCCACTGGAATGAGATAAACAAATTCAAATATTACAGATCATATTATTACTACCATTGAAAAGAAATTGTTTTCTATCAATAAATGTTTACCTTTTTCTGAAGATAATTTATTCATATCTAAAGTTTTTGAAAGTACTTTTACAGCTAATGCCATTGCATCTTTTAGAGTTGTCTCTCCATCTTTATATTCTTGTTTTAACGACGATACTGCAGCTGCAGAATTATTTCCGATACAAGTTGCCTTCCATCCTCCATAGTTTCCACTTGGATCTGATTGATACAACTGGTATCCGTAATGCTTATCCCAGCCCATGTACAAAATCGAAACTCCAAAAGGTCTTTTTCCACCATACTGTGTATAAGTTTGTTTTACATCGCAAAGCCAAGAAACAAGTTGTTCGCAGGGGATCGGTTCTCCGTATTGTAGAAGATAGCGTTGTGCAATTAGGCGCAATTCGTTTGTTAATACATTAGCATCGGAAGTGATACCAGCTACAGAGCAAACAACATCGTCGTTAAGTTTGTAAATTTTCTCGGAAAAGAAAACTTCGTCTAACAGTTTGTTTGTGTTGCGTCTTTCTGCTGCAAGTAAAATGCCATCGGTTGCTAAAATACCAAGGCAAGTACCCGCATGACTTATAGCTTCCATCGCATATTCTACTTGATAGAGACGGCCTTCCGGAGAAAAGATTGTTGTTCGGGTATCATATCTGCGAGCCTGTTAATTATAATTATTAATGTAATATGTTCTTTTTGTATATCAAATTCATATTTAACTTAAATTTTTTATTAGATCAAGAATCTTATTTAAATGACACAGCACTATCGGTAACTATGCGTAACTTCTGCAATCCTAACCTATAATATTACCGAAAATTATACAAATTGATGATTTTCTAATTGTTCAGAAGTTATTATTCACAGAACGACTAAAATATTTAAATTTTAAGCAACTAAATATAAATGAATTCAATTTAATGTCAAAGTTGTTCCAATCTAACAAGACGTATAATAATAAATGTAACGTGTAATACAAATACAATATAATAACAAATTTTACGTGTAACAACAATAATTTGAAATACAAATTGAGACATACTATTATTCTGTCATTATTGTTTAAAACATTCTATTTATGCTAGATGACAGTGCAATTTAAATAACCTCTTGCTCAAAACTTTACAAGAACAAGTAATTAACAATGTAATTAACAAAGTAATAATGGGAAAATAATTACGCTAATATCAAATAAATATTGTTGCAATTTACCATTATGCAGACTTTTTTTTATTATGTTTACAGCAATATGATACGTGAAATTGAAAAACTGACAACACTAAAGCTAAAACTGGGTTGTATCAATATTGCCTGTTTGAAAAGTTTCGGAACACGCAGGTTCGTTCCGAAAATCAGAAAGTTTCTATCAATAAAGATATGTTCTAAAATAGAACTATTTAGTTACTTCACAATTACTATGGAACAATTTCATTTCTACGATTTAGAATTTCAATATTTTTTATTACAATGAAATAAGTATTTATACTTGGTCCAAGAAGAAAAATATGTAAATAAATTGCAAACTGCCTCTCGCCAGGAATTTTGGAACAGATCATAGAACAGGTACATAAAAGATCAGTAAATATATTTATCTGGTCAAAATTATTTTATTTCATATTTTTAATATTACTGCATATATAATCTATAATGTCTTATGTCATTAATTACTTATTGATGTATACATGTATATATACTTTAACATGATTTATTCTGTAATTAGGTATCTTCCTCGTCATTCTCGTCATCGTGATACCCACGTGCTATACGTATCACCTCTAAAGTTTCATTCCTACTTTCATTTTTGTCTTTATTTGTCTTAGGTATCAAATTTTCGCACGCAATTGTAAATCCTCTTCCAGTACTAATTTTCTTTGCTTGACCATAGAACGTAGCTGCAATTTTAGGATTTATTTGGTAGGATCTTTCTTTGACAACATTTCGCTGCGAAAGATCTCGTTGAACCTCGATTTTATCATGTTTTTTAGAATTATTACTTTGGGTATCATGTATCGATGTATCAATATTTTCTTTAGAGGTACTTTGTTCAGTCGCGGAAGAATCCATTTCCTTCCGAAGAGTGGTGTCCTTGTTCTTACACTGAGAATTTTTGGAACTTACAGAATCATTTTCTTCCTTGGTAGTATTATTTGAAATGGTTTCTTCCAATCCTTTCTTTGGTGAAACATTTTTGACACTTTTGTCAATGGAAATATCTCTCATTTGAGTAATCATAGATTTTAGATCGCAAGTTACTGCTTTAGCAGCCTCTTTAGGAACTCGTAGTGGCGTTTCCAATTCCTGTTAAATTGATAAAAGAGCATGATAGTAAAGTATAATAGAGTAAAAAATGTTAATATTATTATCTACTTACTAGTTGCTTCGGTTTAGCATTTGTAATATCTTCTTTATTGTTGTTGGTGTGGTTTTGAAGTAAATGAAATCTTTCTCTTTCTTTCAGTTTAAATTGCTTCCTTTTTTTCTTCGAACCTACTGTTGATCTCATCACACATTTATTTTCTGATGTAGTCACTGGATTAAATGCTGGAGCACTCTACAATGTGTAATTAATTTTATTAAGGGTTAATAATTTTAGAGTAATGATTTTAACAAACATTCGAAAGGCAAGAATTCATATAAAAACTAAATTAAAGCGACAGTAAAGTAAAACCATATTTTGTTTACATACACCAGACCAGTCTTCATTGAGCACTTCAGTTTCAATGCTACAAGCATCCTCTATAGGAATTGTTCCAACTTTTGTATCTGGCTCCAATGAATGTTCAAAGCATTTTATATTTCCGGTACTTCTACACTCTGAGAGATGATGCTATAAAAAATGAAACAAATCTTTTTAATGTATCTAGCTGTAATGCATTGTTATTACAATAATCTGAATTAAACATACATTTACCTTGTACACATTGGGATCCAATATATGTGTAGCATCAAAAGGACATGTTACTTTAGTGATCTGTGGATAATTCTGGCGACATTTAAATATATGTTTTTGAAGTCTGCCATCTAGGATCTGATGTACATTGTCAAATGGACATGTTGTGTAGGCTCCGATAAAAGTCATTTTTTTAAAATAAGAAAAAGGATAAAATAACAATTACTTTATTTACAACATGTAAGAATGCAAATTCTTTAAGCTAGAAAAAATTAACAAATACTTTATTATTTTGGAATTTGTAATTTTTCTTTTGTTTGAGCAAGTATATGTGTATCTAGCATGAATTTTTGTTTTGAACACTCACGTTCTTTCGAATTCCGTTGTTTTAAAAACTTTTCTTATTTTCACTTAAAGTGAAACAATAGGGATGCAGCTGTGACTCAAAGTTTACTCGTAGCTGCTCGTAACTTTCTTTGTAAACAAACAATTCTCGCTAAAAACACATAAGACGTATTTTCAGAAAAGGATACAAAATACATTAATAAAAATTAAAACAAATTTCAAATAATTTATGCACCCCTTAGTCTCTTAATTTTAATTTATTATTACCTTAATCAAAGCAAGTATTAGCCAACAAGGAACAAATTAATTCCATCAAATTTCAAGAATTATACAGCTGCGTACTTGCCCCAGTGTTACCAATCAGTACAGAAGTTAAAAAACCCCTAAATTTTATTTAAAACTCCCGGAAATATAATCTTTATTTATTTATTACAGCTTCTCGCAACTAAAGATATTTTATTTAAAATTTAGTTGAAAATAAATAAGTGTCGTTATGTGAAAAAATGTAATAAATAAAAAAACCCTAGTCATCCGCGTAAAAGTCTAGAATTTTGCCATTACGAGGTATGATAGATCAAAATTTGCCATTCTCGTAGAAATTTACATATTTTCGTATTTTGATTAATTACACATCTCATGAACCAGATGGTCAAAATTGTAATTCTAAAAAAATCTCAGTTCATACATTTTCCCCCTAAATCTAGGGGAAAAACTTATCTATAAATTCTGTTGTATTTATATTTGTATTTTTATTTATTATGAAACATTTACATAGTTATCACCACATTTCCTGTAACAAAATATCTTTATGCTTACATATTCCTTTTTCATATTAATTACGCACACTTATTATACCCCTCTCATCAATTCAGCCACATTTGGTGGTTAGGTTTATTGGTTCATTCTTTTCAAACTTTCAGACGCGAGGTTTTACTTCGTGCATGCGCACAATTTTAAGAACGCTAACGTCAGTGACGTATCTAATACCACCCTAAAACTGGCACTCTTGTGGCCCCAAGGAAAAATAGAAATACAGGGTGTCCCAAAAATGTTGTAACACCTTGAAAGGAGTGGTTTGGAAAGTGATTTGAAACAACTTTTTCCTTAGCGAAAATAATGTCCGAGACTTCGTTGAGGAGATATTAACGGTAAACACTGACCAATCAAAGCGCGAGTATGCTGGTTGAGCGTAGGCTACGTGCTAGGCGGCCGCGCTCATACGCTCCAACGGTATACGCGCGCTCTGATTGGTCGGGGTTTTTTGTTAATATCTCCTCAACGAAGTCTCGGACAACATTTTCGCTAAGGACAAAGTTGTTGCAAATCACCTCCCGAACCACCCCTTTCAAGGTGTTACAACATTTTTGGGACATCCTGTATTCGTATGTATGTAGGAAATAGGATACGGCTAGATACGGCACTGACGTAGTCCTGTGCTTTTGTTTACATTGACTTATCGTTGCTTACCGTCTTACGGAAGAATAATTACAACTTGAACCGTTTAAACAAAATCATAAAACTATTTAAATGTAATCACACACGACTATTTAAATAATAACCTAGTTCGAATTGTAACTTTCTACTTGATCCGGACTGATCTGTATATTTTGGTCGTAAAAAAAAACAGGTACGCTGATTTTCGCGGGAAACATTCGCATTGGACACGTATCGTAATGCGCAACATAAACCGACGTATCAGTGAAAGAATATCACTTAATATCACTGAATTGTATTTGATATTTCACAGGTGTTGACAGGTTACTTTATTATCCAAAATGTGCTCGTTAAGCGAAGGGGCGTTAGACGTAAGTGTTTTTACGACGTGATCAATTTCGAGTAGAAAACAGCGTCTAATTCTCATTGTTTGTTTCAGAAAATTATGAACGGCATCGATATCGATAAGCCGGTACTACAGATATTAGTAAGTGATTTTCATGTACTTATCAAAGCTCTTTACTAAGCAAAATCTGAAGTTCGTAATTAAACCAAAAACATTGAGTTGAATAATAAATTTCTTATGGACATAAGCATCTTCTCAATGACCAACAAACATATATAATTTTATTACTTTTCAGGGTCACAAGAAGTTAGCAAGTTCAAGTAGCGGAGAACGTTATAGATTGCTTGTGTCCGATGGAATTAGAGTGAACTCATTTACAATGCTAGCTACACAGTTAAATTCTATGATAACAGATAATGAATTGACTGAATTTTCTATTTGTCAGATAAACAGATATGCGATAAGCATGGTGAACAATGCTGGGAAACAAAAGTATTCAATATTTTCTACTTATTGAAATTTTAAAGTCAACAAAAGTATATTTTGTATACTTTAAAATCGTCTCTTTTTCAGACGTGTGATGGTAATATTGAACATAGAAGTAAAAGTTCCTGGAAGCGAAGTGGGACATAAAATTGGAAACCCAACGAATGCTGAGGCTGATAGTGAATCTAAGCCTGCACAATCTGCACAACCTCCTCCTCAACATAGAAATGGTAAGGTGGAATTTGAGTTCTAACCGCAGACTAAGAGAATTAAAAGTTTCACTTCATTTTCAACAGATACATTAATGCAGAAGCAAAACACACATAATTCTTCTACCGATAATATATCAACAACTCCGATCGTTGCTTTGAGTCCTTATCAAAATAGGTCAGTTTCATTTGCTGGAACTTTAATGTTACAATTTTAAAGAATTTTAAATGATTATAACTTTCATAGGTGGGTGATAAAAGTACGTGTTGTCAGTAAATCCGACATCAGAACGTGGAGTAATTCACGTGGCGAAGGAAAATTATTTTCTATGGATATCGTCGATGAGAGTGGAGAAATTAGATGTACAGCATTCAGAGACCAGTGCGATAAATACTTTGATATGATCGAGGTATATACTGGTTATACATATGCTGTTTAAGTTATACTACTACATATATTCTTATTACAGGTCGGGAAGGTTTATTATATCTCTAGAGCTACGTTAAAGCCAGCAAACAAACAATTCAATAATTTAAAAAATGATTATGAAATTACTCTAACCGGGGATTCAGAAATTATTCCGTGTCACGATGGGGGAGATGATATTCCTTCCCTTCAATTTGATTTTGTACCAATAAGCAGCGTGGAGAAAAAAGAGAAAAATGATATGATGGGTACTTGAATATAAAATATGTATAACTATGACTCATTTATCATACTCATCTGTATACATCGTAATATTTATTTATTATAGATATTTTGGGTGTTGTTAAGTCTTGTAACGATTTGCAAATACTAACATCGCGAACTACAGGCAGAGAAATGAAAAAGAGGGATATTAATCTTATCGATGAAAGCAATACTATGGTAAGAACTTCGTATCTGGCTAAGTAATCTATAGAATTTACAGCGATGACACTAATAACCGAATTTTTAGGTATGTTTTACATTGTGGGGGTCGCAAGCTGAAGAATTCGACGGATCTAGCAATCCAGTTTTGGCTATCAAAGGGGCACGCGTTAGTGAATTTAACGCAGGAAAAAGTTTGTCTGCTATCAGTTCGACAGTTATTCAAGTTGATCCAGATATTCCAGAAGCGCACAGGTTAAAATTACTTTTCGTTAATGATTTAAGAAATTTCTTTTTTCCAAGAAATACTAATCCCTTTTAATTTAGGCTGCGTGGTTGGTTTAATACGATCGGTCGTAGCACAGACGTTAAAGCGATTTCGAGACCACTTGGAGGTGGTGGTGCAAGTGGACCATGGCTAACGTTCAAAGAAGCAAGGGACATGGAACTTGGTTTTAAAGGTGTTGATGTATACACGGTAAAGGCAACCGTGAATATGATTCGAGTTGAAAATGCTCTTTACAAGTCCTGTCCTAGTGAGAACTGTAAGAAGAAGGTAACTGTTGCTTTTGCTTCGTTATAATATAGAAATTTAGATCTGGTTAATCGAAGCCGTACTTTGCAGTTGATCGATCAAGCGAATGATATGTACAGATGTGAAAAGTGTAACAAGGAGTATCCCAACTATAGATATCGCCTACTTGCGAGCGTAAGTGGGAAAACGCATTTCAAGTATCTTTAATTCTTTACAGACGGAGCAATTCGGAATGAAATTAATGAATTAGTTACTTATCGTAAACTATGATGCTTGAGATTCATATTTATTAATTAATTTTTAGTTAAATCTAGCAGATTGGACAGACAATCAGTGGGCTACTGCATTTAGCGAGGAAGCAGAAAAGATCTTAGGTATTACTGCTCAAGAACTCGGTGAATTGCAAGAAAACGATAACGATGCATACCTTGAAAAATTCGGTAGTGCAACATTCAGGAGTTTTATATTTAAGATAAGAGTTAAGCTGGAAATGTTTAACGTACGTTAATTTCTCGTAAAGTTATCAACAAAATGCGATTTCGGCTTTAAAAATAATGACCTTTGTTTTCAGGATGAACACAGATTGAAAGCAACGGTTGTCAGTGCGTCGCCTATAGATTACAAAATGTATAATGATCATTTGATAACTCACATCAAGGAGTTGGCTGGTATCGCGAAAGCTTGAGATTATAGTGATCATTCTATTTATACTATTCTTGCACGAAGTGATATGTTACGTTCTATTTTCGTAAATGTACAGCGAATACTTTTTTACATTGTTAATTGGTTAACCAACTAAGATACATATTTCTTTTCACACAAATATGAACCTGATTATATATCGTACATGCTAAATCTGAACGTTATTCGACCTTCTCTTTTATTACTATAGCTCTTTTTTATTTGCTTGTATTTGATATTACAATCCCATTTACTTCGAGAATTTAAGTAAAAGAAAAAGTATTAGGATATTTAAGATAGTTGTTCTATGGAAAATTTGAAAAAAATTTGAAAAAAATACGAGATATTTCCCCACACCCTCGCGAGATACGCTCCTGCGAAGTTCCTGGTTTTATTTACACACGCTCTATCTTTATACAGGGTGTCCCAAAAATGTTGTAACACCTTGAAAGGGGTGGTTCGGGAGGTGATTCGAAACAACTTTTTCCTTAGCGAAAATGTTGTCCGAGGCTTCGTTGAGGAGATATTAACGGAAAACACTGACCAATCAGAGCGCGAGTATGCCGATGGAGCGCTCGCGGTAGCGTATGAACACGGTAGCTTAGCGCGTAGCCTTCGCTACCGCGGCCGCTCCAACGGTATAATACGCGCACTCTGATTGGTCAAGGTTTTCCGTTAATATCTCCTCAACGAAGCCTCGGACAACATTTTTGCTAAGGAAAAAATTGTTTCAAATCACCCCTTTCAAGGTGTTACAACATTTTTGGGACACCCTGTAGTTATTTTAATATTTTATTAACTTGACAATTTTCCAAGTGAAAAGGTGACAATTTGTCATATTGCCCAATCGTGGTACGCGACGTTCTTTTTATATACAGAGTAGCCAATCTCTAAAGCGTGTAATTTGAGTTGCACCACCACTATCTCGTCGCGAAGGCACACGTTCTCTGACGTTCTCCTCGCGCAGTATGGTATGGCCCGCTCGATTCCTACCGTGATCCATTCAACCACGTTTGCTCGAAGAGGTATCGTTTCATTCTCAAACGTAATTGTGCACATATAATCCAATACTCACCATGGAGGACGATTGGGGTACGCTATGGTCGATATTAGGACGTCCCGTCCAATCCACGTTTATAGTTAGGTCGAGGACGAGGAAATGATTTTAACCTTCAACTTTACAGAAGTCGTCGAAAACGCTGAACCAAAATTCGACCTCGCTATCAGATCCAACAAGTGGGAGGGCGAGGACGAGGAAGAGGAAGTTAAGGTAATGGCTTATTAACTGTCTATTTATTTTAGTTTAGGCGACTTGTTTGCTAAATCTCGTACCCGATGTCGACGGTTTGGAAGTGTGGTTAACCTTTCATGGTGTGGATCAACACGGGACAGCGAGACAGCTGAACAGACCTGAAGTTTGCTTCGAATCGAGCCACATACTAAAATTGAAACTGACATTCATAATAAATTAGATTTATATTAAGATTTATATTTAGAAGTAAATGAATCGTTTCTAGGTTAACATACTTGTTAAGTAATTATATTCGATCCGATGCAAATTCCGTTTGTTCCATAAATTATTGTCAATATTGATGTACATACATTTAATTGTTTACAATGAGAATGTTTAACTTTAGAGTTATTACAAAGTAAGATTCAGAGATGCTGAACTTAATTTAAAATTACAACTAAAAGAGATTGTTTTCAAGATAAGGTTAAATAAATTTTGTTTACATTTACAAAAAATGAGATACAATCTTTGCATTAATTAAGTAGGGAAGATGATGATAACGTTAAAAAACACTAATCACTGTATCTGCATTTATACTTTATCATCATCACATGTTACAATAAACATGAAGGGAAAAAGTCCAATTTTTGACGGAATGCAAACAAAGAGCGTGACTGTGAAATGAGATACATTTACAAAAAATGAGCTGGATTAGATAAAACGTGAACTATGTAAGAGTAACACTTATCGACTTGACTAGGGTGTTGAGAGTTAATGAGTAATTCAAAAAATGGAAATTTGATCAACAGGATAGTTGGGAGGATGTTGAAGAAGAGAAAAAAGATGTAGAAAAACCTGCAGAAGTGTCTAAGGCCAAGCCAAAGCCAAAGAAAGCTCTGGCAGAAAGGATTGAAGAGCGTGAGGTATTATTTAAATTGTCAATTATACTGTTTAATTTACAATTTAATTGATTACTTCTTTTATTCTATATCATTTTTGTTTATTTATCTACTACTTTCCTGGATATAAAATTCACTGATTCATAAATCTATTAATTTTATTATTCATAAATTACTTTTTTGTTTTACCTTTTAAACATAAAAATTTATACAATAATAGAAACATAATTCCTAATGAAGACCTTAGGTATTAATTGAATGAATACTAATAAACTTCTTATCTTTTATTGTAGAAGAAGGCTAGAGAAGAGGCTGAATTGAAAGCAAAAGAAAGAGAAGAGGCATTGACACCAGAGGAAAAGAGAGCAGAACAATTGAGGCGTCAGAGGCTTCAAGAGGAAGCCGATCTACGCCTTGCCATGGAGACTTTCGGTTTGTCCAACCTTGTTGATTTTTCTGACCGCAAGCCGCACAGAACCGACAGGAAATGACTGCGTTAGAAAGTTTTACCTATTAACTCTTTGCGCTCCTGCTTTTATTTATGTAATACTATTAATATCAATTTTTTGATAAATTATAAAACGATGTAGTTACTAATAATCGATCAAATGAAAAAAGTGCTACTTCTTTTAAAGTATTGAAAGTAATATTTTGCTTATAAAGCATTTTAAAGTATGTATCATTTTGTTTTTTAGAACTATACTTTGATTTTGCATAAAACTGGCGAAATACAAGTAGAGTATCAATTTAAGTATAGGTTCACTGTTATTTATTTTATTAGAATTTTCTTTAATTCGAACATTGCATCTCAAAATTTGTTTTAAAATATTTGAAATCCTATTATCGAATCTCAAATTTTAATTTGTTTGAATATAAATTTTTTAATCGTAATTCTCTATAATTTAGGGCAACATTGTAAATTCTCTATTTAAACAAATTTGACTATTTCTAGATATTATGTTTCCACAATGATGTAGAATTTCAAAGTACTATTCATAGAAAGACTACTAATTGGACCGCAAAGGGTTGATGCACTATTTATGCGTTAAAACCAGTTATTGGCTTAATTATTCGTTTATGCTTTGTCTTTCATAACCTAATATAAAGTATAAATATTGAGTACTATTCGTATAAGAATCGTAACAATTAATTTGTACTTTTTAAAAATATATTCCAACTGAGGAAATAGTTATCGATAATTAGTATTAAATTTGTAACAATTTCTTCTTGCTTTTAACAACACAACATAAAGTATTTTTTTATATAAATTTAAAACATAGTTATAAGAATTCTATAAATTTTTAAATAGCCTTTACACGCTCAAATATTTTGCAAAAATTTTAACTATTATTGATATTTGAATTAGGAGAAAAGTATATATATATGGAAATGTTTAAATTCTACGATATCATATTTCGAAAAATGCAATTATTATTGTAGTTATAGTAATTGTTTAACAACTTCTAATTTTTCAACATTTCCAAACTATAATTGATTAACGAAAATTACTTTGGTGTCAGGAACTGTACTAGAGACATGAAAATGTATTTAAACGAGGTAACACAATCTTTAAATAAACTACCAAATTGTCATTGTGCAAAAAAAAATAAACATTCCTCTTTCTTGAAAAAATAAATCAGATGTGTCTTATTTATCAACATTGATCTCCTGTACCGTTCCTGATAAGTGTTTAATTTTTATGACAAAAGCTCGTGTTTTATTTAATGTATTAAATAATTCAATTTTTTATTCACTTTTGTTTATAGAGTTTCGATTACATATTATAAAAATTAATGTAAACGGGAGATTTATAATTAATGTAAAGTCTTGAGGCACGTAAATTTTAAACAACAAGTAAGCGTACAAATTTAGAAATAAAATTGTGTAAAGGAAATTTTATTTAGGCAACATAAACATTTTTAAAAATGCTGTTAACACATGTATAATTTAGGCATTAATTAGTCTGAATTGATTTAAAAAAAAAAAGAAAAAAAAATAATCGATACCTTTTACTTCAACTACTTAATTTCAAGAAATATTAAGTTAAGTTTATTTGTAAGAATATTATAATTTGATAAATTTATGAAATTCCTATGTGTAACTACCTTACATTTTACAATTAATATTATAGTTTCCATACTAATTTTTTTCTTTTTGGTTTAGGTGTAACTGAAGAGTCTGCAGTGAGTCTGGATACCACAGTACCCAACACAAAAGAAGAGTTCGATTTGTACGGAAACGTACTTACGCAAAAATTGAATCAATTTTCTAAACACACCGAATTCGCACCATTCGCAGAAGAACTTATCAAGTCTATTGCTCTCAATCGTGAGTATGTTATGTACATAAAAATGAAACAGAAATCAGGCAGTACAAGCATGTTATTATTTTTCTTTTTTCTTTTATTATTAACTCACACGAGACACTAATCGACTATACTTGCATTAATTATTAGATATTCTCAAAGATATTTATTATATTTAATGACTAAACTCGATAATATTTCTATGGCAAAAATATAAATTTATTTATTTTTGTTTATAAATTAGTTTCTTTATTTTGTTTTCTATACAATATTCTAAACTTTTAGAACTTTTAGTTAATTTATTCTTGGTATTGGTAATTGTTTATGCGCGAAATTAATAGGTGTGTATCATTTGCAGTATCGTCAACATGTTTGAAGAAAGTGAAAATAATAGTTGATAATCTCTTGATCGAAAAACAGAAGATCGAGAAAGGGGACAAGGCGAAAAAGAACAAGGGCAAGGGAAAAGCGAAACTCAAAATCGAGGGTGAAAATACTCTTTTGAACGAATACGGCGATTACGTTTACGATGATTACAACGATTTCATGTAGCGACCTTTTTATCCCATATTCTTACTATTCCCCATTCCCTTTACTAGTCGCCTAAATACACGCAGATGGTTATTAACATTTTTTTGCAAATTTTATATCCTTTTATTCTCTCTGTATTCGAATTTCGTAACTCTTTCATTTTTAATTGTCGGTTCAAGGTTGTAATTTTAAACATTTTATCCTATATTTTTGTCTTCTTTTTTAGAATTTCTTATTACATACAAATACTATATATACATATATAATGGAGAATATCGTAAATGCATTCGAGAGATGTAAAAGTAATGTAACACGAAGTGTCGATGCGTATCGAGATGCGATAGACAAAGATTTTTGAAAAATTTTCATTGACGACTCGTCGATCGATCAAACTGTTCGATATTTCCAAGATATCAGTAATTCTTGAAAACACTTCGGAAAATTTAGTTACGTTTACTATATTAACGTATAAACTATTGTAGTTAGTGTGAACTATATCGATATGAAAGCTCAGAGATCAAGAGAAACGGTGGAAAACACGAATATACGGACAACGACCATCACAACGCAAACGTAGCGGTGTAATCAGGTGTAACCGGATGTATTCGAACTGATTGGTTCACTGAGCAGCGGAGTAAATTGATCGAGGGATTGATCCTTCGGGACACGCGTCTTGCGCACGCGTAAACAATCGTCCCAACGTGAGGAACTATACGTATACATCGGTTCCTTATAGTTTTATATTTACATGTACGCGCGTATGGTTTTATGTCCTCTTTTCATAATATATAATACTGTTTAAATAATACCTCATGAAAAATAATGTACTTTGTTTTAAGAATTTTTGAAAGTCCTTGTCACATATAACGTTAAGATTAATCGCTAAGGAGCCTATAAGTAATTTAATAATACTTTTATTAAGCTTTCTCGTTACATAGAATTCTTTCACATAAAGGATACAATAGTGAAATGGAAAAAAGTGTGATGTGTTTGTTTAAAAAGTTTTTTTTTTTTTCAAACATGGACGAAGTTCTTGCGCTTAAACTATTTCACAGAGTTTCTTACGCTACAGCAGTAAAACTAAGAATATCCTTTACTTCATTGCAACAAAGTTCAACAACATTGTCTTACGTTCTTTGTTTAATAAACTTGTGTGACTTCTTCGCAGTAACAGTGTATATATATATGTTGTGTTACGTTTCTCTTATATCTATTTAAATCTGCATTGTTTTCTATTGTGATAAATTTATTTTTATTAGAATAGCACAGTTCTCTTTCTTAGTTTTATTGCGGCAATTATTGCAATGAAAGCGACAGTCATTGCAATAAAACTATTCTTTATGCAATCGATTTATCGATTTGCAGTGAATTTATTTTTGAGTTTACACGAAAACTATTTTGCAGTTTGCAGTAGTGTGGCACATTTAAATGGTTTCAACTATTTGATTAGAAATAATTAAATTTAAAAATAGTAAATGTTGCTGTTGTTATATCGTTCTTTTTATTTTTAAGAAAATTAAAGAAAATTTTATATTGAAATACCAAATAAGTAGTATTAGTTACGTTCATTAATTATTACGTTAATTATGAAAATTATTTCGTGTACTATTTTATTTAGTTTAACATTGTTTTATTTTATTTAAAATTTATTGTTTGTATAACCTTTAAATATTTTTCAATTTTGTAATGTCCATTCTTTTTAGATCTTTTTGCTTTCGTTTTCAATTAGGGATCATAATTATTCGTACAAAAAAATAAATTCTATTTAAAAATAAAATTTATTAACAGTAAAAACATAATAAGTTAAAACAAATAACTGGAATACAATATAAACATTACATATTATTTATATAGTAAATTTGTTTACAACTATTTAAAATGGGAAAGTGCATTTTTTTTTCTTGATACTTTATACGATATGATTATGTTCAAAAATGAAACAAAGGTCTTAAAAGAATAATCATATTGCACGTGGGAATAATTATATCTCTGATATTAGCATTGTTATTGTTAAAAACGTTAACATCGCGTATTAAAGAGTAATTTTATGTTATTTATTGTTAATCTCTTTATTTTTCAGAGACATAGAAAAATCATATGATCCAATAATAAGGAAGAAATGCATTACTGAATACATATATATTCAGTTCACTAGTTTTTATTAACCCTTTTGGTACAGCTGACTACAATCAACAGTTGTCGGTACTCTGTAATCAGGTATCGATGAAATTCAAACCAAATATGTATTTTTGTTCGCTAAATTTTGTCGTTTGTGTATGCTACCGACTTCTCTTGGGAGCGAATATGCATTTTTGTACAGATCGGTAATTTTATCAATGAAATAATTACGAAAGATATGCCTGCGTTCTTTTGTACCGAAAGGGTTAATCGTGGTTGTACTTTCAGGTATATCTATAACCGCGCGTATACATGAATGACACATGTAAATATATTATCACAAATGTAAATGTAACAAAAATATTTTCACATAAAAGAAGTAAGTACGAGGCTTTTCATAAACCAAACACTTTTAAAATTAATTTACCTTGTATTTCGTTTCCGATTTAATTAAATTAATGTATTTTATCGAAGAGAATTATCTTGAAATAGGATATTTTAATGATAGCTTAATAGCGACAATTTGTTATGTCTTTAGGAATGTAATTTTCCCGCGTGGAATGTAAGTTAAAAAAAAGAATTGGCCAACAAATGCATTAGTCTTCTTGTTGCCCGAAGACTTTAGTAACGGTACGAGTTAAAGGAAAGGTTTCGTTAAATTTACACGAGTTGTTCCAGTCGTCAGCGTTCAAGGAGAATATCATTGCACCTCCAAAATTGTTTGCACGGATCCATTCAGCCTGAAAGATAAAATAATAAACAATCCATCTTTCGGTTTATCGTAAGGTATAACAAGCAGTCTGTACCTTATAATAAAAACTCGTAGTATCGTCGTACGATACCCATTCCCTGTCTTTGTAAACATACGGAACTTTACTCTCGTTCTCAAAAACGCTCTTTGCACCATTCTGAAGGAACTGACAAATCGTAGGGTACGAAACGAAGCCCATTGTACCCAATTTTCCAAATCCATTCGCTGGGGCAGGTAAGCCATGATTCAGTGGATTATCCAATCTATAAGAGTGACCGTAAGTAGGCATCCCAATAATTAGTTTCTCTCTTGGCATGCCTTTCGAAAGCCAATATTGAGCGGAGAAATTAAGATTCAAGGTAGAAAGATATCCAGACTCCGCAGAGCGCGGAAATAGTGGTGCATTGAGTCCAGTGACTGGATAATACCAAACATAAAAATGGTAATCGTATGCCATTAAGTTGACGAAATCTACGTATCTAAAGAAATCGGTAAATATCAATTATAATTATAAGATGATATTGTAATTATAAGATGATTCATGTATATTTCACTTACTTTGCCATTTCTACGACGTTGTAACTCTGATCGACGATAGCTTGGGGAGCAGCTACAGCAACAGAAAGTATCAATGGCTCTTTTGCTCGTTGAAATTCCCTTTGTAATTCTATCAAAAGTTGCGTGAAATGAAGTTTTTCTAAATCGTCAGCTCCGAGCCAAGCTGGGAACTCCCAATCTAAGTCCAATCCGTCGAAACCAAATGATTTTGTCACGTTTAACACCGAATTTATAAATCTACAATAAGTATTGTCCATCTTTTATTGTCCATAATTTTTAAGGTGTTAACGACGTTAGACGATGCAAATTACCTTTTTCTATTAGAGTGGTTCTTTACCATTTCCGAGAAACCTAAACGGAGCTCGCTACTGCCGCCGACGCTTACTATGACCCTCAATTTAGGTTGCAGTTTCTTCAAGGATAGAATCTCCTTGTAAAAGAATGAACTACGGCCCAAGTCGAGACTGCAGTTCACCACGCTCGCAAAACCCACGATAATATGCGTACAAAGATTAGGGTCAATGTGCGACGGACTGAGCTCCCAGAGCGTGTTCAGGTCCCCCGATACGGTGTAATAACAGACAATGATCTGCCTATATAAATGAAAACGAATTTTTAAATATATGTATGGGTAATTGTAACAAGCAGGACTGGATCAATAGACACAATAGTTAATTTAAAATAGATTACATACCCTTATAATATAAAGAAACAAACACTGCTTTAAATGTGTTACCTTGTGGAGTTGGTGTAGAAGTGCTGTGGCGAACCGATGCTGTTGTTCCTGTCCGCATTCTGGTTCTCCTTCGTCGATTCGGCGTACATCCGAGCCCGACGTAACCACGTAGCAATCTTGGCATTGTCGAATAATGTCTCTGTATCTAGTGTCTCTGTTTTCGGAGAACTTAGAATAAGAAGTCCTATCCAAGCGCGTGTTACAAAAAGGATCCCCAGCACCAAGGATATTAATACCAAGCACAGCACTTGTGTTTTCCAACGAGGTCTAAAAAAAAGCCATAAATATAAATAAGTTTCATATAGAAAAAAGGAGAAATAGAAATTTTATATAGACGTATTTATATTCCATAACTTTAAAGTGATCAGCTGATATAATACGTGGAACATATAAATTTATGGCAAACTCGAGTCTGCAGTGTACTTTATGTATATTTATATTCAGTTTAACACAAGAAGGCTTCTTGTGCCATAGTAAATATAGAACAATCAATATGCCACACCTGTAACTTTTGACATACACCTATATGTCCACACATATTACCAAGCATATGTGAAGAGAGAGACAGAAACGAAAAGAAAAAGAAAATAAAAGAAAAAGTTTGACATTTAAGTAAACAAAATAGTGACGAATACAAGTGTGAAACAATAAAAAAAAAAAAAAAAATCATTCAAAAATAAGAGATTTAAAAGAAATTTCATTATGTGTTCAAAGATATTTTAATCAATAATAATATTAATTATATGATATAATAATTATCTTAAATAAACATCCAACAATTTTTCTATGTTCTGAAATTTGTAAATTAAAAAATCGCATGTTATCATCATATGATAAATCGAACGTTACGTTTTTCAAGAATCATGTCGATACAAATTATCTTTATAAATAAATTGTTGAACGTTTCGACGATATAGTAAATAAGAATTGAAATGTATACATCGAAGTATGAGTGTATTTTAAATTTATACGGTTCACGTAAATGAATATTTACACGCAGAGGCAAACTATATTTTCGACATTCAAATATTAAAAATTCGGAGTGCAAAACTAACGTTGTATTCTTTGCTGCTACTTGAAATATTAAATTTACTAAATGTGAACACGGTTTACCTCTGCGGTGGAGGTGTGTAACGTACGGTCGTTTAAGAAAAAAAGAAAACATGCAACTCACTGTCGAACGTCGGTTAATAATTCATACTTGGCCTGAGGCACGGGAATTTGGTTAACCATTGAACGTACAATGTTCTTCGTGATTGACGCTTGAGGACGCTGGTCCTCGAGGGTGGCTTACCACTTTTATTACTACGCCCAGTTTGATATGATATATTGATATCTACATACATACACGTACATATGTATTTAACCCCGTAAACTAAATTGGCCGAGTAGGTAGGGGTAGGATCAGGTAGGGTTGGTAGGGTTTTACCCAGTTTTACCTCAGGGTGCGTGGAGTAAGTACACACTATAGAATTTAACAGCAGCGAAACTCTTATGGTAACCGTTGATATTAGTGATCTTATGTTTTTTGATTAGGGAAGACGAAGATCATATAATAAGAATTTGAAAAACGTTTCGTCTCTGTAAGAATATTGTATGATTTTGATTCAGACGATTGGGTACATTTATAAAGGTCACCGCTCACTAAGCTGCTCAGTAAGCGGGTTTTAATACTAGTGGCGCCATCGGTGGCAAAATGTCCAAGTTTGTAGTGAAAATAGTTCTTAATGTCGCCGGTGGATGGCGCCCACCAATCAAAAAGCAGAGATAGGTAAAACCCTAGGCTTCGAATAAATTTGAAGTTTGCCGATGTGTTTGTCTCGTTTTTTCTTTGTAAAATGTTCAAAAAAGGAAACGAGACAAACATGTCGCAAACTTCAGATTTATTCCAAGCTTAAGGTTTTGCCCGTGTGGGGATCCGCCTTAAAGCGTACCGCTCCGCGCAGGCGCATGGAGTGGGAGTAATGACGACCTTGCGGCGGCCATTACGTTGCTCCGTTCCGTGGCGCTCAGTTGAGTTATACTTACTCCAACTTACTCTGCTTCACTGTTATTATAATTTATTATTCCTCGATTCACAATCCCTTTCTTGCTGAAGTTGGCACCAGCCAGTAGTTAATTAACGGGTATATTTCCAACAAAGTCAATAAACATTTAGATGTGTAAAAACAGATAAATGTTTAAGTGACACATCAAAACAATGATGTATCATAGTGTTATAAAGTAAAAAATTTGAAAGTATTTGTATAAAGAATACTATTAAATTATCTATAAAATATCGATAAACACATGAAGTTGAAAAATATATGTGCATAGATATATATATATATATTTATCCATAAATACATTCATGTTAGCAACCACATTATAATAGATGTTTTAATCTCTGTCAATTAATACAGTTTCGCTACATAACGCACACGGATTTGAACAAATGTTAATAATAAAAACTCGGTATTTTATATAATAATAGCTTAAAATGTAATATATAAAATAAACTTTATATACATTAGTTCAAATTAACAGTGGTATTAAATACTGCATTAATAGCACCAAAAATAGTCAGTATTAATAAAACAGGAGATTTAATAGAGATTCTTAATACTATTAAACAGTAGTAACTTTGTATTTTATAATTAAAGCTGTAATTGTAGCACCGTAATCAATAGAGGTATAAAAACAGTGGAAATTTAAAAGTAAATATTCGACTGTATACAAGATTATTTTCAAAACTTTTCTAAAATTATAAGCAGTATAAAAATCTAATCTGTAATAACACAGTATAAAAAATAATTCCATTGTTCATTTTATAAATAAATCATAAAACACAAAGATCTGAGATTAGAAGTAGATACACCAAGTTAATGGAATGCTTTGTAAATAATATGTGGAGATGAACAATTTTACACAAGTATTATATATACCCAGAAGTTTGCTTACATGTTTCAGGACACGAAACAAATTTTTCATATACCGTGATCATCTTTTATTGACTTCTGCCACTGACCAACGATTCATCTTCTGGTTTAGGAAACCGTTTGTAACGTTCTTGTGTCACAAGATAAACTGTCACGCCACCAAAAAGAATAAGTAGAAGCCCAATTACATTGATCAATACTGCTTCCTCTCCAAGTTTTGAATAATCGTTTCTGTAATTATAAATTACAGTCAATAAATATAACGTTTATATTGCAATTGAATAATTTACTTACTTCAAAATGAAAAAAGCTTTTTCATTAAGTCCTAGAAGACAAGAAGCGATTACACCAATAAATCCTGCAATACCAAAGTATACATGAATGGGCATGTAGGAAGCACGTAATGGAAGTTGTATGCCTGGGTAAAGGAAAGACAGAAATCCAGCAAGCCACTGAAATATGATCAAAAATATTAAATGTAAATTAAGTCATGGCATGAAGCAATTTCTTAGAAATTTTGGTTTTCTCATACCTGGCAGCAAAACAAAATTACACTTGTAAGACCGATCCAGCTATGAAGGCTGTACATATTTGGAATTGGTTCTGCTTTTAAGTTGTGGCTATCAAACACAGCCACAAGAGCGATTACTACCAATACGACGACAAACAACATTATACCACCATGAATTAATTTTAGTCGCCTTTTTCTAGCATTTCTCTGAGTTCTATACAGTAACATACCTAGAATGATAAGAAATATTGTATGTAAGCATTTAGTGAAATCAAACAAATCATGAAACATACCATTCGCGTAAAGAAATACAAATCCAATAATCATTAATAATGGATGCCAATTAAATTCCAAATCTGGATTGGATCTCCAAGAAAAACCACCTCTATGGTAACCACACCAAACAGCGACCATAATTATCAACACTGCTCCAAGGATTTCCATTAAAATTGTAAGCGGTTTAAAACCTTCTAGGGACACATGTGGTTCTTCCATTTGTTCCATATCTGACAATCAATTGAAGAATTATTTAATTAAGCCTGCATAATATTAAACACAAGTAAATTAAGTGTACATATAATACAAAGCAAGAGTAACAAAATGTTAAAATAAAGAAAAAGAAATGACATACCTAAACACACTTGATATTGATATGGATAGTTTGATGGCATGATTCAACTAAAAAATGAATTTATTTCACAAAACTCTAAGTATTAATTTTTATATATAAAACAAAGGCTGGATTTTACCAACTGCTTCATTACGACAAAAAATGAATGCAAATTATATTCTAAAAAGTGCATGTATTTTATACAAGTTCAAAAGATTCCAGAAACATTCCACATATGTTAACAATTGCTCAGCTATCTTTTTGTTCATCACAAGTTACATACATAAGTAAATATATTACATAATATTATCAAAGCAATCAGTGCAAGTTATATTAACAATTGTAATCAATAATTTTTTTTTCAAATAGTTTCTAAATATTTAAAAAAACATACATTCCTTGATAATGAAACAATTGTTTTTCTTAAATAAATTTCAACAAGTGTCACGTAGCCATGTTAACGTAGCTATATAGTAATTTATAAATCAGGTTAGAGTTCCCAGTTATTGATAATGAATGAAGTAGTAAATAAATGAGTCGTATGTTAATTGATCCGAAAAGGAAGATAAAGATAGTCCTGTTTAATAGTTCGTAAAATGTGATATTTGTTTCGTTACCTGTGGATTTTCCTGCTTCAGGAAAAAATCAACAGGTACGTCAACACGTCAGCTCACCCCAGCTCACCCACAATGCAAAATAAATTATCGATTTTCCGCTTTTACGCAGTTCCATGGAACCCAAGTTATTTGAACGTATCGCACTTGTGGTCAATAGAACAACTAATAATAATATACATATAAGTTTTAATTTCAGTTAATCAGATTGCTTATTTTAATGTTATTTTCAACGAAATCTAAATTTTGCTGAGATTAAAAAATTAGAAAATAAAACGAATTATTGAAAAACAAAATTGTATTAAAGAGTACTTCGAAATTATATTATACTTACTAATATTGTAATACAGGCATATATTTGAAACTATTTTATGCAAGTTCTTATATGATTGAAATAAGAGTTCATGAAATTGAACAATGATTTGATCGTTTTATTAACAACGACTATTAATGTCATTAATGACCATAATTGCTTTAAATTATACGTATTTTTGTATCACTTTAGCGATTTTTAAATAGAAAAATAACATAATATAAATAATTTTTCTTAATAGATCCGACAAGTTTTTTAACTTGTAATTAAAACATTTATTGTTATGTTATAAGAGCATAAGCTTATACTGTTAGTATACTTGTTTTATTCTTTCGTGGTTACATTAAACCCTCGTATTATTATTCAAAATGCCCACCTCGAAAAACTTGAAGTAAGCATAACCTCCAAATTTTGTCGAGAGAAGGAAGAAGTAATTAATTGTTCGTTGTTGTTTCATTATCGAAACGCTTATTGTCGAAGAGTTTCGAAATGATTAAAAGAGCAAAGTTTCTCGAAAGTTTGATTAAAAGAAGGCAAAACCATTTTTCGTTCGGGAAACTTTTCTCAGAAGCTGCTGCAACTGATAACAATGAGAAAACGACACATTTTGGATTTAAAACTGTTAAAGAAAGTGATAAGGAGAAAGAAGGTATATTTCATAGTGTAACAATTTATTTAAACAATACTTTGAAAGTATTTATCAAGTCATGAAAATCATAAAAAATCTGTTGTAGTTGTGGTTTACCATTTATGAATGAATGAATGTTTTTTCAGTCTATACGGTATTTGAGAAGGTAGCAAATTCTTACGATCAAATGAATGATGCAATGAGTTTTGGAATTCATCGTATTTGGAAAGACATATTTATTCAAAGACTGGCACCGACTCATGGAAGTAGATTATTAGATTCGGCTGGTGGTACAGGGGATATTACGTTTCGATATTTACAGTATTTGAAAAACTCAAAAAATTATCAAGGTTTAAAGAGTTCTGTAACGGTTTGCGATATAAACGAAAATATGTTAGATGTAGGAAAAATTAGAGCTAAAAAACAGGGTTGGACAAGTCAAGATAATGTTGAAATCGAGTGGAAGCAATGCGATGCAGAAAAACTTCCTTTTAATGATGATTCATATACGGCTTATACAATTGCTTTTGGGATAAGGAATGTAACACATATTGACAAGGTATATAAAATTGAATCATAATGTATTAAACTTAATTAATGTTGCTTAGTAGCTATTTTTTGTCATCAAAAATATCACTGTTATCAGGTCCTTTCTGAAGCATATAGAGTACTTAGCCCAGGTGGTCGATTTATGTGTTTAGAGTTTAGTCATGTTGACAACGATGTGTTAAGATGGTAATTACTTATACTGAAAGTAAAACCTACTATAATTTACTTCACTGATATGTTGTTAGTGTAAAATGAAATTTTTATACAGGTTTTACGATCAATATTCGTTTCAAATGATACCTGTACTGGGTACACTCATAGCAGGAGAGTGGCAGTCTTATCAGTATCTTGTTGAAAGCATTAGAAAATTTCCAAGACAGGAGAATTTCAAGGTGAATTGCTTGATATAGTGTACACACATTATATATAACATTTCATTTTATTTGTAATTATTGATTGCTTTAGGAAATGATCGAACAGGCAGGATTCAGAAATGTAACTTACGAAAATTTAACCTGTGGAATAGTAGCTATCCATTCGGGATTTAAATTGTAATCCAATGGTATCTTATTTAGGTGAATCGTTTAATTATAAATTTGTACATAAAAATTAATACAGGATATAATAAATTATTTATTATGTTTGGAGTTAATAAAAGGTGCAATTTTATAATTGTTGTTATTCTAATTATATTTTGTAAATAAAATTTAACATTTATTTTTCATATAAAGGTATAATGTAATAAAAATAATTTACTAAATACAATTATTTCGTGTTATAAATACAAGGAATAGAAAAATAATACTTTACAATAAGGATTTTTGTTTTTCATATTTCTTTAGAATATATTATATAAAATATCAATTTCCTTCTATAAATCAATCTTATGGTTACTTAAAAAAATATTTCGTCTTTTATCTATTATTTCTCTTTGGTCCCGTGTTAAATCAATGATTTTCATTACTGTTGGCTTTTTATTGATGTTCAATTCTAATTCTAAAAGTGCATCTAAGGTTTTTATTTTTTGTTCAGCAGTACGAAAACTCTGAAATATTACAAATTCGTTTACTTATCACGATAAGGTAAAATTATATTATACACATAATTAATATAATTATTATCATTACCTTTCTAAGTTCCTGTTCAATTTCAGGATTTTTCTTTAACTTTTTCTTTAACGAAAATTCTTGAACGCTGAACCCTAACAAATCTTCAAGAACCTAAAATGATAAGTTTATTTATTTAAAACACAGTAAATTATGAATAGAATAAGATTCTAAAATAATTATAATTACATACTTTATTCGAAAAGAAAACTTCTATTTTTCCAGTACCATCTACTAATGTAGCATCCAAAATCCAACATGAGTCTTTTTTTCCTAGTTTGCCAAGAACTTCCACGCGACCGTGGATCGTCCTATAAGTCATTTCAGTTATTACTTCGTTGTTTACGTCATGAATAAATTCACAAATTTTTGGCGTATCCGGAGACTTTGGTCTTTTCGTAAATTCTGTAATCTTTCTATCTACTTTACCCTTTTTCAAAGTTACATTTTCAGAAGGAGACAGTGGAACCTAAACAAATTATTCGTTTAAACATATCTATTTACAATAATAACACTGTCGATGTAATTATTCATCAACGCACAGGTCTCTTGCCTCCAATCAAAGGTAGCGACGTTTTTTCTGTCTTTGTACATGTTTCTGAACGCAATATACTAGTCGAGGGAGCCGTTTTACTTGTTAACCGTGCTGATTTTGAATGTGAAAGTAGTTCTTGTTTTTTTAGGTGTTCTTTAATACTTCCATGTTTTATATCTTCGACCATATCTTCGTCGTTTATTATAATGAGATCGTCGTCTTCTTCGTTTGGTAGAGTCCTGAATGGAGCTGCAATGTTAGTCTGTCTTGTTCGCGATCGCACAAGCTGTTCTTCGTCAATCTGAAAGTTGATTTTATAAAATTCTCGATTTAATTTAGGAACAGAATTTCGCTATCAGATAATTATAAAATAATTTAATGTCTGTTCACAATGATTCAAATAATTAAAGGAAATTAATGCGATAATGGACAATGTTAAAATAATATATGCAAATATAAACCATTTCTAAGAAACAATCATCGTCGTCGTCATCAACCAAGATTATTCCTTCCTTGGAACTATGACCTTGGTTGACAGTATTAATAGGAACAAAGTTCTCTATTACAGTTTCTGTTTTAATTGCATTAACTTTATGTTGCTTGCTTTTGTCTTGCTCTCTAACTATGACTCTCTGAGAACTATGACTCTCTTTGTTCACAGTACTAGTATTAGTAAAGTTTCCTGTTATGGTTTCTGTTTTATTAGCATTGATGCTTGTTTGCTTGTCGTCTCTGCTATGCAAATGTTCAATTTTGGATACTTCTTCTAAATTTATTTCAAAATCTTCCTCAAAAAAGCTATCATCTATTTCTGGTTCTTTTTGTTGTTGAATATTATTTGATTTAGATTCGTCGTCGTTATAAGGGTCAGGGTTTTCCTGAAGGTTTCTACAAGAATCCATTAAAAGTGAGGATTTCTTAAAACTTAAAGGAAGTTCATTAAGAGTTACTTACAAAGCTCTGGCCAAGACATTTTCCAAAGCATTAGGAATGAGTAAACTATCTACTTCGCCACCGATTCCTTTCAGTTTTCCTTCCTCTAATAACAAAACACCTTTACGACATTTCACTGGACCTATTATCATGATCTTATAGCCTGGTAACAACATGTCCTTAGGAAGGAGAAGATATTAGTGTTTCACAAAATTTTGTTTCTATTTTATGATAAAATTTACTATGGATTAAAATAGCATACGTTTAATCTAGATATGGTGCTATACTCAATTCCAATTACATCTTGTACTCCATCCGTTAGTTTCAGTTGTATCATTCTCTTTTTGGGAGGTTCCCACTTTTCCAGCTTCTCTGTCTCAGATGGATCTACTTCCGAAATGTGAGTGCTTCTTATTTGTTGTAATTGTTTATATTTCGATGTTGCAATATCATACATTTGTTCTACCTTTGTTGACAGAAAACATAAGATTCACAAATGTTTACTATTGTTAAATGCAACTTCACATTTATCAGTAAAATTTATAAGTAAGTTTACCTGAAGAATGTATTTATCGGGTAATATAACAAAGTGCTGCTGTGCAATATTATGTGGCAAACTTCCATTTTCATTATTAATTTCTCGCAAATTACTGAGTTGCCATTGCACTTTGACAAATTCCAAAATTTCTACGTTACTAGGCTGAAAATAGAAAAGGCTCTGACTGGTTAAAAAATAGAATTACATTTTTTTTTAATATTGACAAATATCCTGACGCATACTAGAAAAATAGAACAAGTACATTTTCGACTATTTTATGTTATTTAAAGGTCTGCCTCTTACGTGTCACGAAAATTTGTTAAACTTTTGGGTCAGGCATAGAATCGAAATTATTATTTACATTTGTATGTTGATCCACGAAAAATTCTACGCAATCTTTTAACCATTCGTCGTTCATGAGATAAAATTCTGATTTTAATCTATTTTTTATTTGCTTGAATAAAACTTCATTCATTTCGAATTGTTTCGAATGGTTTGAATGGTTTGAATGGTTTGAATGGTTTCACTCGTTCAAATTCAACGAAACTACATGAATCATAAAGTACTGAAAAATCTGTTCAGAAAGATTTCCTTATCGAAGGAAATATGTGCAGTGATGTGCAGTGGAATGGTATAGTGATTTCGTGCTGAGCAGATGAAACTAATTTTTTGTTTATTCTTTACAGTTAATTCCGAACGGAATGAAATAATGAAATGATAAATGCATCAACGAGTGTGTTAAATTTACCAATGTTAAGATTAATTTATTCAATACAATAATAACCCTAGTTTTATTACTAGTGTTGCCAACCCAAGTTTGTCACGAAAATAGTTCCTAGTTTCAACGCTAGATGGCGCCACCGATATCTTTTTATCGACATTATAGTTAATCATATTCAAACATAACATTCGACTGTTTTAACTTTGGAAAATATCCTACAAATAATTAAAAAGTTATTTCCTCGACAAAAAGACCGTCCAGTAATACATTAAGCACGAACAGTTGATAAATATTCTTAAATATATCTTCCAAAATACTTTACATTACGAAAAGATACAGAGAAGTGGATAAAATACGTTAAACAAATAAAGATAAGGTTCCAACAGCTGGTACAATTTACGATTTAAATATAATTTATCATTTACTCGTCATCCCGATACGTCATCGTGTTACACTTCAGGGGTTAGGTTCGTTCTAATTGTACGATTGTTTATTCAAAATTGATCCACGTGTTGGAAAGTTACCGTTAGAGCACCGTTGTTATCGCAATTTTATCATTCCGCGATGCCTTCCATCCCCCACAAAAACCAGTTCACTCGAGCCTATTTTTAGTCTTTCGAACACATACATCTCTCGGCGACAACCCTAGTGGGGGTGAGCTACCCTTAGTGGGGATCCTGCGAAGAATGGGGAAGGGGGAAGCCAGCCGTCAGGGCAACGCATGCCTTCTGACGTTTCAGTAGGCCGCGCGAGCTTCTGCCGTGAACACGTATCCGTTCGAGGTGGGCTTTTTTTTCTCCTCTCCTTTTTCTTTTCGTGTCATCCGGTCTGTTTTTTCCCCTCGCGATATTCTTGTGCGTGATTTGGTTCACGAGTGCGCGGCAGAATATCGTTTCCAAATGAATGTGTACCGGCTTATGTGTAGTAGTAGGTATGTATATATACATGTATATATATATATGTGTATGTATATGTATATATATATGTATATGTATATGTATATGTATATGTATATGTATATGTATATGTATATGTATATATATGAAACGATGTTGCGCGTGTGGTTACGTGTAACGCGTACATGTAAGGATGGATATAATGTACAGGATATGATGTACAATACGTATATAATTCGCAAACAAACGATCTTTAAATATGGATCGCGCATCGAGATGCGTGGACGTACGACGAAGTGGGTTAGGAACATTAACATGAAATTTAGAAATTTTCATTCGCACTGAGGGGGATGACATCTGGCTTTCGTTTGATACATTATCGCGAGTAATATACGCGTTCGCTTGTCCAGTTGGAATTCCAGGTGGTTCCAAAGTAAATATTACTTGGAAATTGAGATTTAGAAATATTTAATTTTCATGAAGGGTCGACGTCTGGGTTTAGTTTGAGATATGCGTGTTCGACATAGAGGCAATGTTAGTAAATATTCTACAATTTAGAAATTTAATTTACGATACAAATTTAGACATTTTGATTTACTTAGAAATTTTATACGATGAGGGATGACATCTGACTTTCGTTTGAAATATGTGTCTTCGACATAGGGACTTAGAGACAATGTTAGTAAATATTCTAAAATTTAGAAATTTAATTTACAGTAAAAATTTAGAAATTTTAATTTATTTAGGAATTTTATACGATTAGCCAGATGACATCTGGCTTTCATTTGAAACATTATGGGCGAATGTAGAGTTTTCATGTGAACTGTGAATATTCAGAGACCATAGAAATTAGAAATGGGATTTTATAGGAGCCAAGAATAGTAATACCAATAATTTGAAATAGTATCGAAGCGTAATGTTACGATACGTAAACGTTAGCTGGTTTAATCGAGACGATATACTTTAATTAATATCGAGTGACCAGTTAGATTGTGAATATTAAATATTAAATATTAGGCATCGTCCTAGAAATTGGCGATCGAAATAATTCAAGGAAGAATTAAGAGATTAGAATTTGAATAATAGAGATAGGTTAAAAGTCGAGTCGATGGGTTGATTCGTTGTTTTCTTATAGTTAGGGTGTTTTCTATGTAACCGCCATAATTGCGAGCCATTCCCGGAGATCCCTCTATTTATTATATATATGTAGTTCATATGACGTACGATTCTTATCTATCTTTCCAGGTCTTTTTTATTATCAGAAAACACGCGTGACGGGTTAAATGGCCCTGATCCTATCTCCTATAGATTTTCTTACACCATATATATTAGAAACAGAGTACACTGTTGATATCGTAATCACGAATAGAGAATTCATTTATTTTTACAAAATTACGAAGCTTATCTTAAACAAGTAAAACGGCTAAAGGGATTTCGAGCGAAATATCAATTAGCTTTATTTTTAATTCTAAACGAATTACAGAGTTGGGATAAACAATTTAGGAGTTGGGATAAACAATTTAGGGGTTAGGATAAAAAGGGATCTCGAAGGAAATATCAATTAGATTTAATTTTAATTCTAAACGAATTACAGAGTTGGGATAAACAATTTAGGAGTTGGGATAAACAATTTAGGGGTTAGAATAAACAATTTAGGGGTTAGAATAAACAATTTAGGAGTTGGGATAAACAATTTAGGAGTTAGGATAAAAAGGGGATCTCGATGGAAATATCAATTAGGTTTCATTTTAATTCTAAACGAATTACAGAGTTGGGATAAACAATTTAGGAGTTAGGATAAACAATTTAGGGGTTAGAATAAACAATTTAGGAGTTGGGATAAACAATTTAGGGGTTAGGATAAAAAGGAATCTCGAAGGAAATATCAATTAGGTTTCATTTTAATTCCAAACGAATTACAGAGTTAGGATAAACAATTTAGGAGTTGGGATAAACAATTTAGGAGTTAGGATAAACAATTTAGGAGTTGGGATAAACAATTTAGGAGTTAGGATAAAAAGGGATCTCGAAGGAAATATCAATTATGTTTACTTTGAATCCTAAACGAATTACATGGTTAGGATAAAAAGGAATTTCGAACGAAATATCAATTAGATTTATTTTCAATCCTAAACGAATTACATAATTAGAATAAAGAATTGTCTCGAGACTTCAATGAAATATTTCGATAAGTAGAAACCGATATATATTAGGATTCTTTTGAAAAGGGATTCTACGAATTAACTGAAATTTACTACAATAATTTAATGAAAATAAATGTTGCAGTCGCGATTTATGGTAGTCGATTAATTTCCAAACGCGAAAGAATCTCGAAAGTCGCGAAACAAAACGAATTCGGAACGCATGAAATCTGATTAATTTCGTTTCAGCGAACGTATCGTGTTATTCCGTCGAAAATAATCGCGCATTTCGTTGGACGGCGCAAAACGGTCCAACGTTACCTTTTCGAATTATGTATTAATTTGCATATTACGTAGAGCCCGTGCCGTTTATTTATATGCGAGTGGGCGCAGAACGCAATATGGATTGTGTACGAGTGTACGGAATGGATGTAGCTCGGGTAAAATTTATTATTTGAGTGGATGTATGTACAGGGTGTCCGCTGTTACAAGCTGATTTCTTAGAAATTAATGAAGACGTATCGATTACATTTTCGTTACGATTAAATGGCTCTGCGAGGGCTGGAGGGTGGAGGAGGGAAGAGGATAGGGGATTAATCTTCTCGGGACGCTATTTAAATTGTTTCGAATGGTAGATGGTATTAATTATTTTTATTTGTCTACTTATATTTGTTTGGAATTTTTTTTCTTTTTTTGTTTTTTATAATTCATAGCCATGGAGTTAGAACAAGAAAGAAGTAGATTAGCATAGCTATTTCGGTCTTGACGAGGTTAATACCTATATTAATCATTTATGATAATTATAATAATTACTCTTAACATAGTTCGATTATTTTTATGAAAACATGCTTCGAGATTTATTTGGAAAATGTAAATAAATTCACGATCTAAAATTTACGAAAATAACAGTTGAAACTTAGTTATTACAACGATAAAGAAGTAGATTAGCATAGCTGGCTGTTTCGGTACAATTTTAATTTTACTTATACGTCAGAGTACAGCTAATTATAAATTGTAATAATAATTCATTCAGTCACGAATGTTCGTAGATGTTTCTTTTCTAGGTAGAGTTTTTTGGTTTCACAGAAATTCATTATAAAAATTCACTCAATTTGATACTATAGAACAATGAGCGCAAAGGGTTAATAAATCCAACCCCAAACGACACACGAATTCACGCAAAACACGAATTCGACTCAATCATACGCGAAAAATTTCATCGTGTTATCCAAAACGATTTCCTAAACAAAATTTCGTGTAAATTAGAATCCATGAACGTTTCGAGAAACGGCGTTCCCTTGGCGAAAGAGAATTTCCTTAAAACGGAAGAATTTATATGCCATTCTATTAAAGTCAAAACATAAAGGGACTGGCGGCCCGTCTCTCCTGGGGTGGCCTAGAAAATGGTAGCTCATATTTCTAGAATGCTAAGGAAGACATTTATCGTAGCCCCTAGCGATGGTTGGCGGAATTTTATTCGAATAATAGCTGACGAATAAAAATTCCGTTCGACAATTTATTCGCTATTTATTCGCTATTTATTCCAATGGCATGACAACCTTTTTTGTATTTCGTTCAACGTTATAATTTTGTATTGTTAATCTTCAACACTCTCGCTGCGGATGACGCACATGTGCGTCCAACTGAGAACATATGGTTGTTTTTATTATTTTTCAGTTTTCATTCTTTTCTTTTTCTTTTTCTTTTTCTTTTTTTTTTTTGTTCGGCTAATTTCTTTTTCT